CACACATATTTACACACATATACAGACACACTCACACACATACATATAGATATTTGTACACACACATATTTACACGCATATACATATACTCACACACATTTACACACACATACATATATATAGATATTTGTACACACACATATTTACACACATATACATATACTCACACACATTTACACACACACATATAGATATTTGTACACATATTTACACACATATACATATACTCACACACATTTACACACACACATATAGATATTTGTACACATATTTACACACATATACATATACTCACACACATTTACACACACATACATATATATAGATATTTGTACACACACATATTTACACACATATACATATACTCACACACATTTACACACACATACATATAGATATTTGTACACACACATATTTACACACATATACATATACTCACACACATTTACACACACATACATATATATAGATATTTGTACACACACATATTTACACACATATACACACACATACATATATACACACACATTTAAACACACATACATATATACACACACACATATATACACACAAACATTTGCCGCATACACACATATTTACATACATATATACACACCTATTTACACATATACACACATATGTAAGCCCACACACATATATACATACACATTTACACACACATAGACAAATTTGCAAACACACATAAAAATATATACACATATATACACACATTTACACACATATTTACACACACACACACACACGCTTATTTACACACGCACGTATATACGCTTATTTACACACGCACATATATACACACATATATACACATATTTACACACATACACACATATTTACACACACACACTTGCACATAGACATAATTGCAAACTTACACATATATATACACATATTTACATATACACATATTTACACATACACATATATACACACATATATACACACATTTACACACACACACACATATATATATATATATGCAAGACTTCAGCTTTTCTTATTGTTGCACACTGTTTTTACTGCAACTAATCAGCTTTGTTTCAGCCATATTCTCCTACCTATAACTTAAATACTTCCATTGGTAGGGCAAAAGACATTGATTATGAAATAGCCAATTTGGATATTTTTACCTCACAATTGTTTTAAGTTTCAACACTCAAGCTTTGTGCCTTGAAAATCAAGAAAAAATAATGGTTTGCAATTAAGGCAAGCAATTCTGATAGAATAAGGCTATCACATATATTAGTACTTTGATCATTATTATTATTGTTATTACTATTATTATTATTATTATTCAGCAAAAACCTCAAAAACAGAAGTGGAGAGTAAAACAACTCACCAAAAATACACTGACATTGAGGGCAAGGAGCTCTGCCTTCAGACAACTTGCTAACTGAGAAGATTCGGCCCTCACATAGCTGAGGAGGATTTGTTTGCCTTGATTTGTATAATTCAGTGATTTTGCCCTAGAACTTTCACCTTCACAGTCAACAGGTTGCATTTGATTCAGTGACATTTCCGAACTGAGGGTGAAAAAGAGAAACATACCTGTTAGAAGAACACATAAAATAAAAAAGAATATTAGCCCGATACATTTTTTGTTATATTTAAGTACATAGAAATAGCTCCCAATTTTAAATTATAAAATATCTTTTTAATTCATCTTTTTTTTTTTTTTTAACATATTACATAAATAAACCTATTGAATGGTATTTAAAACCAGAAAATAATCTTTAGATTATAAAAACATTTCTTTTTAATAATAATGATTTCCTAATGCAAGTCTTACTAATTAATCTATAACTGGGGAGGGAAGAAGTGGGTTCATACCTAATCAGAACTTGATAAACAAACAAAAAAATTATAATGTGGATATTAAGTGAGAGGTCAATTCTATATTACAGTCACTATATAAAATGACCCCTCACTTTGTAGACACAGTAGTTTCTATACATTTATATTCCAGAAAATTTAAATAAATCTAGGATACATGCTGCGTAGCTAATCAGTATTTCATTGATTGATTTATTTTCTACAGCTTATCTACAGCTTATCAATCCACTGAAGCTTATTTAAAACCAGAAAATATTTTTAGATTGTAAAAACTTTTCTTTTTTTTTTTTTGCAATAATAATGATTTAGTGATACAAATCTTACTAATTAACCCATAGCTTAGGGGGAGAAGAGGTGAGTTCATACCTTTCCCAAGGGTATTTGTGCATAAATGAATATAACAAATCCAACAATTCCTCAATCCAAGTTGCTATCCATTACTCCACTGTACCTCCTCACAACATTTACTGTTGCATCCTTGGGAAACATATAAAGCTGTCTCCTCTCCTGACCAGCTGTGTGTGAAACAGAAGGGCAAATTTGGCTTTCTAGTCATGGATGGCAACCAGTCTAGAAGAAGGAAAACTAAATCTCAAACTATAGGCCTTGTGATGTATATGCTATACAGTCATGGAAATAATAGAGTTTTACAACTAACTACATTGCAGTGTTACAGACTGTGATTAGGGGTGGGTTAAGATCAAAAATAACCCCTGAATCTTACATTCCAATTTTTATCTAAGCACCAAAGATTACCGGTACTTGTAAATTGAGAGCTGGGGTATTCCTATATGCCATCATATATGGTCCTTAGTCACAAGAAACCATCAAGTGTCTATGGTAAAACATTCAAATTTTCGATGTATTCCATGCACTTGCTTAGTGGAAATTCCACCTCACATTCTTTTGGGGTTTTTCCCCCTTTATTTTCAATTGATTTTTATTACAAAGCAATGCTTAGAAAATAGTTCATGACTGGCATTTTTTTTGTTCAACAATGAACTTAACGTAACTATATAGAATATATGTGATAAGCAGACAGACCAATCAGGTCAGTTCTGAATTTAAGACAATGCTTTTATCTCCTAAACAACAATGGCTATAAACGTTCAAAATTATTTTTAATAGATTACTTAATTCTGATTAGTTTTTGTCTAATCCAGTAAAATCCCTTTTTTCATGTAGAGCTAAAAAAAAAAAAAAATGATTATTATTATTCTTCAGAATTTTTCCAAATACAAAAATATCCATTTTGAATATGCAAATATTTGCTCATGGTATATACATTATTTCACAAAATAAATAACAATATAAACAATATTTAATACGGTATGAATAAATGAATAGTTTATAAATAATTTACAAATAAAAGATAAATAGCAACAAAATATAGAAAAATTTGCATGAGCATATATTACTACACCTTTGTTTTTTAATATATATGTGTGTTATTTTCTATGTGCAGTACGTAGTGATAAGCGATCAATATCAGTGACAGAGCTAACATATTCAGTTGTATGGATAGGAATTTGTGACCTTGGGTTTCATGCTTTTGCAATCATCAGACAAACTGGTTTATTTTTTAAAAATTGGATCTATTTATGCTCACAAGCATAAATAGATTCAATTTTAGGCATAAATAGAACCAATTTTAAAAAATAAACCAGTTTGTCCGATGTTCGCAAAAACGTGAAACCCAGGGCCTAAACTCATAACTATATATATATATATATATATATATATATATAGTAATGGTAATAAATCTGTTGGTATATAATCCAAGTGGATCTTAGTAATATAAAATATTAAAACTGATCAACAAAACTATCCCCATATGAGGAAATTTTAGATTTTTTGTGTAATACCATATATATATATATATATATATATATATATATATATATATATATATATATATATATATATATATGCATGCTTTATTTTAGGATATTATATCGAAAACATATTAAAATCATACACAATTACAGTTATGTTTCAATGCATATCAACAGATCTCATCAGGCAATTAAAAATTACTGTAAATTACAATCGCCTGATGACATGCATATGCATTGAAACACAACTGCAATTGTGCAGTGATTTTAACATGTAATATCCTAAAATAAAGAATATTGCTCTACTTTTTATTGAGCCCTCTTTTAAATTAAATGTTATGAACATTGGAATTGTACTCTAATCATTCTCATCTTACCCGGACAGATATATATATATATATATATATATATATATATGAAATAGACAAAGTCTGACAATTATTTGAAGACATTTTTATGTTTATACATTCTTTTAATGGATACAAATATTTATAATTGGATGCTCTGTTTATAATAAACATTATTAATGACATTTACTGGCCTGAATGTCCAAGAAATTTTCATAGAAAATATGCGTCCTCCGACAGGAATTGAACCTGTATCCTATACGGAACCATCATGACAGTTCCATATAGGATACAGGTTCAATTCCTGTTGGAGGACACATATTTTCTATGAAAAGTTGTTAATGCTGTTTATTATAAACAGAGCATTTACTTAAATATTTGTATCTATAAAAGAATAGTATAAACATAAAAATGTCTTAAAATATATATATATATATATATATATATATATATATATATATATATATATGGTGGGTCATGGGATCACCACAATTTCCTTTTCTTTAACCCTTTTGCTGCAGAAAGCAGATATATCTTTTCAAAATGTTATTACCGTTAACTGCAGAAAGCGGATTTAACACACAGCTTTAAAAAAAAAAAAAAAACATACTGTGAGAACAAGATATTTTTTTTTTTTAATTTTTTGATTGATCATTATGGATATGACCACAAAATTTAATTATGCAGTGAATGAGCTAATATTTGTAAATAGTAAATCACCATGATCATTCACAGGAAAGGATTTCCTGTTACTGCCTTCACCTTGGTTTTAAATTCAGAGTTTTCTGTCTCCTAGATCAGTCCCCCATCAAGGTAAGAGAACCCAGTCTTTACCATTTTAACCACTGCTGGTGGGTATGGATTTATGTCTTTCCTAAGGACATAACTTTGCAGTGAACTCAACAGCCTCACCTAGAATCAGTATCCCAAATCCATTTTTCACACAGATAACCATTATCCCATGTGCGACACCAAATATTACTTTTTACCAACACAATTCTTTGTAATCAATGAACAGCAAATTACTGCAGGTAAGAAATTAAATTAGAACTGTCAATATTGATTTGTCTTGCTCTCTTGTATTAGCTATATAAAGATTTTAAATGGGATTTAATAATATATAGTGAGTTTACATCTTTACCTGACATAAGTAATTTTCAGGTACAATGAATTCATTTGACATACAATACACCAAAGTGCCACAATCATGCGATAACAATATGTAGAGTTAATAGAAGGTAGCACCATCATAAACTGACATCATGGAGATGCCCAGACCTATATCATTGTTCTCTGACATCAGGTGAGTCAGTGCAATAATCTGATTGTAAATAATAACGTCTCAAACCAGAGATTCAGGCAGAAACAAGTTATACAATAAAATGGTTGAAAAAAATCAGTCAGCTCAGTCCAGATATACACTGACTTGCCAAAAGTCATACGATAAGTGCTTAGTATCAGGGAGGAAACTCTCTAGCCTGGCTTTGACCACTAACTGAAGATGTCATTGATTCATCAATAACATTTTCAGTTACTGGTCAAAGCCAAGCTAGAGGGTTTCCAACCTGATGCTAGGCACTTATCCAATAACTTTTGGCAAGTCAGTATATCTTTGGACCAGACTTACTGATTTTTCTGACAATTTTATTGTATCACTTGTTAATAATCCATACATTGGTAGAATTTTTCTGCCTGAATTTCTGGTTTGAGAAGTTATTTACAATCAGATTATTGCCCTCATCTTTGTTGTTATTATCATAATGTTTCGACTATTGTGTCCTCTGGCTTTTTTCAGGTGTGTTGGTTCAGGTAATCTCAAAGGGATTTCAAACCTTTATTTAATCTACAGATTGTTCTTGTCATTCCACTAACTATGTCTACATATAACTTGTCTAGTTCATTTTTAGTAATGTTCAATGATTGTTTCCACTAAGTCTAAGTTAGTATTACCCAACCCAGGGATTGAACTCACATTACTATGTCACCAAACTCATATTCCAATACTTTAACTGTTCAGCATTACATCTCTCTCTCTCTCTCTATATATATATATATATATATATATATATATATATAATTTAATTAGAAAACAGACAACCTTAAGGGTCCATTGATTATATTTTATTTCCCCAAGAAGGTGTTTTTCCTGGTTCCTCAGATCCCATTTCAAGTATAAAAAATGGTTTTAAATTTACGTATTATTTTTAAACACTTTTGAGGGGTAGTTTGAAGTTGATAAAAGGTGATAGAGAGAGGGGGGGGAGGAGAACGACAGATATGGTTGAAATTATAGAAGGAAAGGAGAGATAGGAATAATTTTAAATCTATTTTTATTTTATATATATATATATATATATATATATATATAAAATCTGAGGCATAATTCTTTGGGTGCAGATCCAAGATTTTATATATATATCAGCTGCTGATGGTGGTGTAGCATCTGTTATGGCTGTACAGGCCCACACAGGAATGACAGTCTCGAAAGCAATGAATGCATGTGAAGATGCTCTCCCCAATGCCACCTTGTTGGTTTATTTCTGTTGAGCATGCTTCTCACCCACCCCTCCCCAGTGGCAAGCCTTTGTTTCTTCTCTTCTCACTCCAGCCCTTGGTGTAAATCATGTCTCCAGTATGAGCAATCATTGGCGACATCTTCCCACTTCTTGATGTCCATGTCCATCATCCTAGTGTTCCTTTTGTAGACATCCTTCAAGAGAAGATGAGATCGCCCACATGCCCTCTTGCTGGTAGCCAGTCCTCCATATAGAAGGACCTTCGGAATTCTCCCATCTGGTATACATGTTCAAGCCAGCAGGGCCAATGCTGTTAGAGAAGGGCATATAGGCTGGGTAACTGCTCATAATGCATCTCAAACAGCAAAAAATGAAAGATACTGATGTGTCTCTCCTGCCTGGAGTAGAAGCTCGTTAGTGTAGAGCAACACGCTGACAATGCATAAGTCATATACTGCAATTTTGGTGTTCATAATAAGCTTTATCTTCTCCTAGACTCTCTAAGTCAGCCTGGTAAATATATATAATTTATTTCTGTTGAGCTCTCGGGGGAGGAAGCGTGAGTTTGTAAACAGTGACTATTACTGCTAATAATGCAAGACCCTTTGGTAAAATGAATCAAGTTCTCCCAGTCACTGTGTGTTTATCTAAAAATAAATACACTTAAATTAATCTTCATTCTTGTCGTGCACCAACAGCTTAGGGGTAGAATCTCTAACTGCCATCAATTCAGCTGGGTTTTGATCCTAGCTAGAGGCAACTGGACACCTAGCCACACTGATGAGCTGTGATACAGCAAAAGTCTGTCTGTGGATGACAATATATATATATATATATATAGCCCCCATGCATTCACACTGTTTCTGTTGGCAAAGTTTCATAAAAAGAATCTGTCAAAAACAAAGACAAATAGTCGAATTGCCTGGCATCCTTCGCCAATGAATGTGTATGTCCATTAGGTTCCAAAGATGCTGGCAAATTGATGTTGTAGAATTGTAGAGATCATTTGTCTACTCAAGATCAATGTCAATATCATTATCTTCATCTGAATCAGCCGGTCTGACATCATTAATGTCAGAAATGTCAATATCCAATTCATCTTGCATTTTTTCTAATTTCTTATATTTTTTCCCTTGGATTCAAGAATAACCTAGGCTGTATCTCACTCAAATGAGTGCTCTGATCACTAGACTCTACCTCATTGTGATGCTTGATTTCATGTCAAAAAGAGAAGAAAAAAAATATCCTAAAACTCATTTTCATTGTTAATTGAACAAAGAAGAGATGGCTCAAGTAGCACATGGTCAAAGTCTCACTGTTTGCGTGACTTTCTGCATTATTTGTAATGATGTCATATACTAGAGCAGAGTTGAACATTGAGAGCAAATAGTTACAGTGTGGGTTTGAGCATCCTGAATACCAAAGGGTCAATCCACTATGACTTTAATCCAATAATCTAGTGATGAAAGTGTTGGTTTGTGAAGTTAATGGCATGGTGAGTTCAATCCTTGGGTAGGATAGAGGAAAAAAGGTAGGTAATAACAAAGAAGTATGAAAAAAAAAAAAGAGGAAATATAGGCAGGAGAATGAAAACTAATCCCCATAGATTAAATAAAGGGTTTAGTTCAAAATTTCCTGAAGATTGCCTGAATTGACAAACTTCTAAAGAAAGCTAATAATAACAACAAAGATGAGGACATTAGCCAAAATGTAAATAAAACATGTAAAGAGAGGGGTGAAATGTAACATGGAATTCACTTAAATTTCACCAATATAATAAAATTTGAAAGCTTAAAATTTAAAAATCAAACGCTATTCTTTTTACAGGTACAGATCCTGATGAGGACATTAGCCCAAATATAAATAATGTACACTTCAACTCAAAAATTTGAAGCAACCCCTAAAATTAGCATGGGATGAAATTGGCAGAAGAGTGAACAAAAAAAATGAAAAAGAGCTCTTAGAGTCATTGAAAAAAGAATGGAATTAATTATCAAACTTATACTTTAAGAAACTTTAGCAATGAATGCCAAAAATTTGTGCTGCAGTAATCAAGACTAAAGAAGGATTATTTACACTGTTGACCTCATTTTTGTTGTCATATTCATGAGGTTTCAGCTGTTGTACACTCTGGCCTTCTTCAGGAAATTGGAATTTCGAACTGAGCTCTATATTTCTAGTTCCATGTGCCATGCTTCTTCTGGATGTCTCAGCATGATGTTTCAGCTGTTGTATGCTCTGGCCTTCTTCAGGAAATTGAAATTTCAAACTGAGCTCTATATTTCTAGTTCTATGTGCCATGCTTCTTCCGGATGTCTCAGTACCAGTTATCTCCTTTTTAACTCAACTCTCCAAGTTTTTTTGTTCAGCTGTAGACAGGTACTGAACTCACAACTCTTTGGATCAAGTCACTGGATTAAACCACTGGGCGATTTGTCCTTGAGGATTCATTTTTAGAACTTATAAACCTAATGTCTCATTAAACATTTTTTACCAGAGCTCATATTGCAATTTTGCTGTTATTATTGTTTTTTTCTCTAACATTCCGTATTACTAGTTCCCATATTGTACAACAGCCGAAAACATTGTGAATATAGCAACAAAGATGAGGACAACAGTCTGAACAATGTTAATAGTGTAAATAATTACAATACCTCATCTCAGAAATATAGACAGAAGTTGAAGGTGAATATGGCAATAAATATGAGGACAACAGTCTGAACAATGTTAATAGTGTAAATAATTACAATACCTCATCTCAGAAATATAGACAGATACTAAAGAAAGATATTCTGATGAGAGCAAAATAAAATGCTTTTATTCTTTTTGTAATAATAAAATTTCTAATAAATCATGTCTCACTTATTTTTTTTAACTATGTATAATAATTTTCTCTTATTTAAAGTACAAAACAACTACTTTTGGGGCCAGTTTAAAAAAAATTACTAGGAGTGTCCTGAAATTTTTGAATTGTAGTGTATGTAAATTGTTATAAAGTAAAAAGGAATTATCTTAAATTTTACCTATATAATAAAATTTGAGAACTTTAAAAATCAAAATGCTATTTCTTTTTAAATACACCAATCCAGACAGATGCACTTACAATTTTCTTTTTCGTCTTGTGTCCATTTTTTCAGCGCTGTTCTCCTGTTGGATACGTTCCTGGGCAGAATGACAGACTTGGAGGCGTATATAACTATCCACCAGAACATCCATCACCTGCAGAGATTTTTCCTGAATGATACTCACTGGCCACTGGTTGGATGTTAAAAAGATGAATGGAACTTCTCTGCTGATGATTCTCTACAACCAAAAACAAATAATCAATGTAAATTTCATAATTTCAATATAAAAAACAAAATAAATCACTTCCTCAATTATCCAGACACTTTAGGACCAGCAGTGAAAAAATATACTCAGATGATTCTGGATAACTGAATATTGAAAAATAATAAGGAAAAGAGTCATTTTCTGAAAGAAATTTATCAAAGCATCAAACAACTTTTTTAAACTTCTTTTTTAATCAAATTCACCCCATACAAGGCAGTAAAGCCACCGAGATACAAGGTGTTACCGAGTGTGAAAAAATTAAAAAACAGAAACATTATTAAGCAGTGAGAACAATAGAAAAGTAAGCAGGAAGACAGTAGATAACAATTGGCATTGCATTTAAATTTTTGAAGATCAAAACCAATTGAAAAGCATGGAGCCAGAAGAGAGTTCCACAAGTGAGAAGTGAAAGAAAAGAAACTTTTACAGTTACATCTGACCAATTCAACTGCAAATTAATGAGACATTATTGCTAATCTAGTACTGCACTTAAATTCATAAAGTTTAGGTAACATAGTGAATAGTTCATCCAAACATGGAATTAGAAAAAGCACATTAAAGCTACATTATGGCAGTGGGAAAGTGACTGCAACAGATTCTTTTGAATTTCCCCTGATAACTACAATCTTCAAAAATTTAAATGCAACATCAATTGCCATCTTCTGTCTTCTCGAATATCTTTCCCCAATCCTCCCTATACTCATTTCTCTCACTTTCATTCCCTGTACCCCACTGCATACAAGTGGCATTTCTATCTTGCTTGGGATGAAATGAATAAAAAAAAAATAAATAAATAAATAAAAATATGGCTGTAAGCCAAAAATTCCAAGAAAGTTGCTGAGTATGGCAGACACCTGAAGATGGCTGGAGTATACAATGATCAAAACATTGCAAATAGAGGGTGCTCCAACATTTTAAACTGTCACCTGTCTGGTGCTAGTGAATTTAGGCAAGTGGCAATGGTGTCTGTTGTTCAGGTACCATCATGGCTGGAACCAGTGCACATCATTTGTTTGGTCTTGAAACATTTTTTTAATATTAGGGAATCTGTAATTGTAAAGCTTTTTGTGCCAAAACTCTGCTAGTCGAACTCTCTGCCTTTGAACAGAGAGGAACTCAGCTGATGCTATGCCTATGGGCAGAGTCTCATCTGGGAAGGTAGACAGCCACCCAACTCCCTGTATGCAGGATTTACAAGGAATTTTTGCCTAAGCATACACACTCAGAAATCCCCATGTTAAAAACATGGGCCTTGTGCCACATCCTGCCTTGTTGGGAGGATTTAGGTAAATACTGAGAGTTTTTTGTGTTCATTTCATGTTACGTCAGAATGATGCTGTTCCAGATAGAAAATCAAGACTGCTACAGGTTAACAATTTCAGAGCCAGAGGTTCAGCACTTAAAAGAAAGCCACCTGGAAGACCTCGAAGCAATCAAACTTCCTGTTGATGGAAATCTTTAGAAATTGTCTGTTAAAACAACAGTGAAAAAAAATTTTTTAATATCAGTTACCTTGCTATTTTTGTTAACCTTTAAAATGTAGGAGGTATTTTTGCTTTACCCTGTATAACAGGTAAGTTGTAAATAATAGTGTTTGTTAGTAATTATATTATTTGTACGCTATAAGTGTCAGAATATCTTTATTGCAGGAGTCCTGAAAATTTATTTTTCAGAATAGAATTGTAAGCTTCCAGAGTTGCTGCCTATGTTGAAGAGGTTAATCCTGAATAAACGAGATAATCAACTAGAAAGAAAAGTGAGTAAAAGAAACTTCAATGTTTACTTACACGAGACACGAGCAAATCTCGAAGGTTTGATAAGGACATTGTATACTCAGCCAAGGTGTAGCCAAGGCCCTCACCCATTTGGTTCATCACTCCAATCCTAGGAACTCCTATAGAAAAAGAAGGAAAAAACAAAAACAGATTTGAAAAAACATGTTTTCATGGCAATGGGGTGCATCTGAGATCTTAAAAGATCAAGCGGATTTTACAAACAAGGATATGGCAGTGAAGGCAAATGTTTACCTTAGCAACTTCATTTCACCAAAATCTATATTAAGAAAGAAGAGTTTATTCTCTGTCCATCATGCACACTGCAAGTATACAATGCAAGTATACAATGTACATGTAAATGTGTGCATTGTGTGTGAGTGATTTACACGTGCTTTTGACATTCAATATACACATTCTTTTTTTATGTGCCATGTCCTTTCAGGGCATAGGCAATCATGGCTCTCCACCTCCCTCTATCCCTTGCAGCTCTCAATAAGTACCTTCCCTCTGATACCTCCCCCAGACAACATTCTGTCATTCACTTGCTTAAGCCCACCAGATATGTCATGTATTGTTTTCCCTTGTCTCTCTTTCCCTCTATTCAACCCGTGAGTATCGGATTCTCCAAGCTGTCCTTCCTCATTATGTGTGCTTTTTCCTTTTTATGTGCCATGTCCTTTCAGGACTTAGGTGATCATAGCTCTCCACCTCCTATCTCTTGCAGCTCTCAACAACTTCCTTCTTTCTGCTTCCTCCCCAAGACCACGTTCTGTCATCCACTTGCTTAAGTCCACCAGGTATGTCATGCATTGTTTTCCCTTGTCTCTCTTTCCCTTTATTCAGATTCTCCAGGCCCTCCTTCCTCATTATGTGTTCCAGAAACTTTAGCTGCCTCTTCCTCATGTTAAGTATAAGCTTCCTCCTTGTTTGCATCCTCACTAAGACACATACACACACATATACAATTTGAAAAAAATTTGAAATAAGACAGAATAATAAACGCACATCCCAGTCAGTCTGGACAACCCATATCCTTAAAATCAAATAAATTGGTGAAAAAATAAAAAAAGGTTAATTTTTTTACACCCTAAAAATCAGGTAATCATAAGATTTCATTGAGCATTTCAAAAATTATTTCATAACAAATAAAATTATATTTAAAGCATTTTCGTTTTTAAGTTTGTCTCCGAATAAAAAATAGACATGCACAAATACAAATGTACATACACACAAAATTTGAATGAAACAGAAATGCACATATGTGTCATCGAAATGCACATGTGTCACAAGAGCTAATTTTCCTTTCTATCTAGCAACAACCCCTGAGTAACAGGCAACCATTTATATAGAAAATGGATGTATAGATCCCAATTCTTAAATCAAAATAGGATAAAAGTTACTCTGAACATGAAAATTAATAAAAACATTTGTGTAAATATTTTCAACATGATTTAACTAAATTTTTTAAATAAAAATAAAGATGCAGTTTTTTTTATAAAAATTAGAGTAATAATTTACTAATTTGTTTTTGTGTTTATAGCTTTTGCAATTTATCTCAGAAACATTTAATGGTGCTTTTATTTAATAACTATAAATGATAGAGTTTAAGAAATATTTTGATTTCGAGACTGTTTCATTTTTCAGGATGATTAAAATTGTATTTTAAGGCAGTTTCAGAGCAATGGCAAAATTTAGTCAGAATGGAGCAAGAAATGGCGTGTGAATTTTAATGCCTCCAAAACAAAACTGCTGTTTATTAATTGTCTGAGAGAACCCTTTCTCTCTTCCATCAGCATGGCTAGTGCTAACCTCCAGGAGAGTGACTTGTTGCATCTTTTCAGGCTAACATTTTCCACTGACATGAAGTGGAAAGATATTGAATCAATAGCTAAGTCTGCTGCTAAGAAAGTTGCTTTTCTATGTTATGCTAGACAAATATTTTTGCCCAAATCTATTTTACATATTTACAAGTCTACCATTTGTTCATGCTTAGAATATTGCTGCAACATATAGTTTGGTACTATAGTTATATATTTAGAGATCCTTGATAAAATCTAAAGAAGAATCTGCAGTGTTATTGGTCCTGACCTGGCATCTCAACTTCAGTCACTTTCCCACCACCATAATGTAGCTTCCCTATCCCTTTTCTATAAACCCTTTCATAGTAATTGTTCTGTTGAACTCTTCTCTATGGTACCTAAACTCGATGAATTTAAGTACATTATTAGATTGGTAGCAAGATCTCATTTTACATTCAAAATGGCTAGATATAACCATAAGTTCTATGCTAACAGTTTTCTTTTATCGAGCTTCTTGCTTGTGAAACTCTTCTGGCTCCTTGCTTTCCAGTCAAGTTTGATCTTCAGAAATTTAAATGCAATTATGTTGTCCTATTATCATCACTCCTTAATATTTTTCTTATATTCTTATATGCTGCTAAAAAAGTTGCTTCTCTGTTTCATGCTAGACAATTTTTTCTTGCCAGAATCTATCTTATATATTTACAAGTCTACCATTCATACATGCTTAGAATGTTGCTGTCACATATGGTCTGGTGTTTTAGCTATATATTTAGAGATTTTTGATAAAAATCCAAAAGAAGAATCTGCAATCTCATTGATCCTAATCTGGCATCTCAGCTTCAATCACTTTTCTAACATAATTGTGTAGTGTTCCATTGTATAATGTCAATATATGTGAATAATATTAACAATGGAGGAGATTATGTTTAAAAAAAAAAAAAAAAGAACTCTGTACAAGGTAAAATATTGATTGATTTATTTGCTTTCTACAAATTATCAGTCTTTTGTGGGTTATTTAAGCTAGAAAAATTTTTAGATTGTAAGAATTGTGGGGAGGGGGGGATAATAAGGATTTTAGAGATACAAGTTTTGATAATTAACCCATAGCTGGTGGGAGAATAGGTGGATTTATATATTTTCTAAGGGTATTTGCATGTAAATGAATAACAAACCCAACTGAAATTGGAACTTGGCTTTCTGATTTCGAGTCATTATCCATTACACCACCTGCACATCCAAGCTTACAGTACCTGGTATTCCCAGAAAGTCACCCATCTTGGTACTGACCAGACTCGATGATGCTTAATTTTGGAGATCATATGGGAACACACTGTAAATTAAGTACTATTTTCATCACCAAGCTAAAGAATTTCTAATTCCTCTCTGTTAACTGTAGTTTCCTTAACAGCATCAAATACCAAAAATAGGTAGGTTATAGTAGGAATAACTCACCAAAGTAGCGCTCAATATGGATACAGCAGTCACTGGAGACAATTTCTTCAATTGGGACATCTTTCTCTTGCTCAGGGAGTATCGGCCACCTGTAATGAGTAATAGATAATAATACCTACACATTTGAAATTGAACTGGCTTTTGAAAACAATTTTAATGAAGCCAAACATAAAAAACAGATGAAGAGAGTTGTTAATTGTACAAAGCATTAGGCAAGAATTGGTCAGCATCATTTAGAAGATTAATTAAATGCTAAACAATAAATAAGAGAAATGAGATCTCATAAAAGAAGTTATGGAATAGGAGAAAGGACAATGAAAAATAATCTTACTGCAGGGATTACCCCACTTTTTCTGCCAGATTGCCTGCTAGGTGTCATTCTATTCATGACTATGAAAGGAACGGATATGAACCCTCTTCTTCATCCCTAGCTAGTCCTGGATATGATGATAAACTAAATCCGGCAGCAAGGCTTCTAATTGAGAGATTGAAGCTTTTGAGGAGCATCGAACTACCTCATAATTGCTGTTGTTCCCTGACCTGGGATGGTAGCAGCTGCTAGTTTCCCAGCTATGGGCAAATAGCGAACATCCAAACAAAAACACTATGAAAGCGTAGAGATACATTTTTATAACAATATGACCAACAATATCTGTAGTTGAAGCCATAAAATTGTATTCAAAATATTTAGATTTCAATATTAAATAATCCATGCCACAAACAAAATCAACTAAACAACCTCTTTCATGACATTAATCTGTATAATATACTACAATCTTCTAAAGAAATGAAACTGTATTCCAAAGTATAACTTCAACAAAACTACAACATAAATTATGTACTTATGTCCACACAAACATCTATTTGCGCAAAAACTGAGTATCATCTACCATGTATTCAATTGTGAAAGCAGAATAACATATTTTTATTGCTTCAAAGCTACCAAGAAAACTAAATTTTAGCATTAAATGACCTGTAAGGAGTTGATATGTGTTACGTGTTGATAATTGTAACAAAGGAAAAAAAAATGATTTACCACAACACAGAGCTAAATCACAAACAAATATTTAATTTACTAAAACAGAACATAAAATATATACAGGATAAACAATTGTGGCCTACAAAACAGAAAACACACAGAGTTACTGGCGGAGTGTTACGAGGAAGAAGGAAAGGGAATCAAATATCTTTATCACTTTAGGGCTAGTGAAGTAATCTAAGTGCTATATTTGGAAATCCACAAAGGTGTGTAAATAAATATTAATTTTAGTTTGGTCAATGAAAATTAGTCAAAATTCTATTTACCAACTTTGTTCCATGAAATTCTCTTTTGGGTTTTTGGTTGGTCGGCAACTTTTTATAGAGATTCTTTCGGCTGGATATAATAGTCCTTGAATCAAAAAGCGGAGTTGATAACAGCAGAAATTCCCATTCATCAACTGACAACCCTTTTCCAAAATCCCATTTTTATAGGGGCTAATTTGCATATTTCTAGATGTTTCTCAAATCATCTAGATTTTTCTCGAATATACTAGAATGATCTAGAATCTTCCAAACATTCTATTTCTAATTTCTCTATTTTACAACTACTTCATGAATGAAAACTTTTTTGTAATAACAAGTAGAACTCAAAGGAATCCCTTATTATAGAAATGCATCCTCGTAACAATATGCCATTAAACAAATAAAACAATAGTCCCTGGCAAACTGACTACTTAATTCCAAACAAACCATGTGGACATCACACATACTAAGGTTAAGAAAACAAATATTTTTGTTCATATTATTTTTTTGGGGTTTTTTTTTGGTGGGGGGAGACCAATCTGTATATATGCAAATATAATTTTCTCTTTCTCTTCTTTTGCATGCTGGATCAGATGATGGTTTCCCCTACAAAGGGGAACAGAGATTCAAATCCTTTATTAAGTTTTCTTCAATATGCTGCCCAGTAGATGAAATAAATACTATTTAAAGTAAATGGAGCATCTACTCAAATACAGGTATCCACTAAAAATAACATTTGAAGTTTATTATATATATATATATATATATATATATATATATATATATATATATATATATATATATATATATCCCAGAAATAATTCTGAAAATAAAGACAAATTTGTTTAAAAAATACAACTGGAAAAATTTTTTACTTCTTGTCGATGTTTCATCTTCTGACTTTACCAAGGCAAGTAATGAAAGTGGAATGTTTAGTAGCCATAGTTAAGAATTTTTTTCCAATTGTCATTTTTAAACCAATTTGTCTTTATTTTTTAAAGTTATTTCTGAGACATTTAACTATATTGTTGACATTGAAAACAAAAAAACAAATGCCTAGTAAAAAGGAAGTTACCAATACAAAAAATCCAAAGAAGTTGCACCATTATTTCCAAAGAAGTTGCAACATTATTTGTCCTAACCTGGCATCTCGGCTTCAGTCACTTTCCTACTGCCATAATGTAGCTTCCCTGTGTCTTTTTCTATAAATACTTTCATGGTAATTGTTCTGATGACCTTTCGTCTATGGTATCTAGATGTTATGAATTTAAGCACAGTACTAGAATGGTGGCAAGATCTCACCATTTTACATTTGAAATGGTCAGATGTAACCATAAGTTCTATGCTAACAGTTTTTTTTCTTGCTTGTGGACCTCACTTCTGGCTACCTACTTTCCAGTCAAGTTTAATCTTCAAAAATTTAAATGCAATATCAATTGTTATCTTCTGTCTCTTTAATATCTATTCTTTTATTGTTTTCACTTCTTAATGTTTTTCTTTTTCTTATATTCTTTCACATTCAGTACTGTAACCCTTTGTGTCTTCATGGCTTTCTTATCATGCCTGAGCTGAAATCATTAAAAAGAAAAGTAAATTGCTTTCTCTTTTAATTTATTAATTCATAGAACACCATATAAAATAATATATAAAACACAATGTAGCTTTATATATTCATTGGTCATGCAACTTGATCCCTTGTAATAATTAATGAGATATTCTATTGTTATGGTAACGGGCATTACAAGTTGCTGATACATTGGTTTGTATTTTTTGTTTTGTGTTAGCTTTCCTTGGGTATTTTTTTTAGTTTTAATGATTTAAAGAGCAGAATTATTTATTATATGCAACAATAGAGTTAACCAGACAGACAAATAGATAGATTATTCATACAGAAAATATAACAATGCAAAATGGCTTTAGAATTGTTACAATCTATTTTTTTATATAGTAAGGCTAAAATAGTTATGAAATGAAACTTAACACTGAACAGACCCAAAATTTACTCCAGTCATGACAAACAGTTGAACTCTCATAGAGGGTCCTTGCTTTGAATATCTTCTGGGATTCGTGTTTGTCCTCAGATTTTAAGTGGAATTCATATATATGATCCATCAATAAAGTTGCTGTCAAAATGATTGCCTCCTTGTACAATTCCAGAAAGTACCTGACTCCTTCTGCCATGCTTTATCTTTACAAGAGTCAGATTAAACCAAAAATGGACTATTGCTGCTATATCTGGTCTGGAGCTGTTTTGGCTCATTCTATCACTCCAGAAAGTACCTGACACCTTCTGCCATGGTTTATCTTTACAAGAGTCACAATAGACCCAAAATGGAGTATGGCTGCTATATGATGCCTGGAGCTGCTTCGGCTTATTCTATCACTCCAGAAAGTACCTGACTCTTTCTGCCATGCTTTATCTTTACAAGAGTCAGATTGGATCCCAAATGGGGTACTGCTGCCATATCTGGCCTGGAGCTGTTTCAGCTCATTCTATCACTCCAGAAAGTACCTGACTCCTTCTGCCATGCTTTATCTTTACAAGAGTCAGATTAGACCAAAAATGGAGTATTGCAGATATATCTGGGATGGAGCTGTTTCAGCTCATTCTATCACTCCAGAAAATACCTGACTCATTTTGTTATGTTTTATTGTTGAAAATTCCTACTCTGAGGTTAGCAAGAAGTTGGTCTGGTACAGTATGTGTTGTGAAACAGTGTCTATCTCACAGTCCAAATCCAAACAGGGATCAGTTAACTATGTGAAAAGAAGAGAGCTTGCCAAATGATTCCGTTCTCATAAGAAAGGAAAAGTAGTGAAGGGAGGGAAGGCAGGCTTTAAGTAACAAGGTGGTAGACCTGCACATCCCACCACTTCCGGTAAAACAATTACAAAAACCAAAGCTCAAAGTGGCCTCACTTTTGAAGACCTGCATGGCAAACACTCCGCCTCCCACATCTCACTTATTTTTCCACATTATCTCACAGGTAGCACTTGGAAATATATTGGCTGAGCTCCTTTTTTTTCATCACAGTTAATATAAAAAGGTAAATAAGAAAAATTTCAGATTTTATAATTATTTACTGGTATAAATTAAGACTTAATTAGGATCAAGATATAAGTTTAATTTTCATGGTTAGTAAAAATATTTAAGAATTTAAATCCTAATTTTAACGCTATAGTATTGCTGCTATATCCAGGTTGGAGCTGCTTAATCTTCTCTTTCTAGCTTTAACAGGGTACAACAGCATTTATGTGGCCTTGTGAGGGATAACTTATTTTCCAGCTGACAGCCACTTCCCTATAGATACAATGTCATAATCCTATAGCTACTTCCATAGTAAATGTTTAGATGAGCCATCTACTCTTTCCTGTCAAGACCAACCTTGCTACTGCCACAGGACTGAATCACCCCCATTCCCTACATATTTCTTTGACAAGAAGGACATTTCTGGAAGTTTCTTCCCAAAAATTGCTGCATAGTGGAAGAGTTCTGAATCAAAACCTCCAAGAATACTATAATCCCCAAGACTAGAGTTGATATTTATCTATCTACCATATCCAGTAATCTTCATTTCCTAATTTTCTTTTTTTTTTTCCATTTCTCTCCAAGCAAGGTGGGAATGCCACTATTATACAGTGGTTTACAGGGAATGAAAGTAAGAAAAATGACAGATTATAGGCAAGACTGAGGCAAGGACAAAAGATGAACATGATTCAAGAAGACAGAAGATGGCAGTTGATGTTGCATTTAAATGTTTGAAGATCATAGTTTCCAGGGAAGCAATTAAATGGAAGGGAGTTC